TTCAAATTTCTTTTTACTTCCTGTGCGTTTCCTATTGGTCAATCGGTTGTGAAACGAAATCTAATTGGCTCATCTAAAAGTAACAGGAAGTTGATCAATTTTCTATCAAATGAATTGATCAACTTGAGGAAAGGAATTGGTGCAATATTTCATCAACACTTCTATTGCATCGACAGTAATATTATTAAAATATACTGTCATGTTGGTGTTGAATTATTTTAAGATAAGATTATCATGATTACCACATTATGACATATTGCATGTTTGTTTACAGTTAATGAAAGAATTTCCATCAATGAGTGTCTTGAATATTCATGAAAATCTTATCGAAGCATTATTAGAAATGCAAGCGTATACTGAAGTGCAGGTAAAGATAGTTAATAATAATTAATTTAATCAGGCAGTCCTGGTCAAATTAACCACACTATAGGTTAAATTAACCAGGAAAAGTAACCAGAAATATTAAGTTAACCTAAATAGGGTTATTTCTAAGTTAACCAGAAAGTTTAACCAGGAATTTTGACCAGAGTGTTTTCAAAGTTTCATCCTATCCCTAACCTCACCCGCATTTTCACTTTATTGCCTTTACACCCAACCTACCCAACCCCTAAAATCCGCCATCTACGCAAGTTTTTGCAAAAAGTTTCAGCTTTGAACAAATGCAAACATGTTTACGGCGAGCTTAAGTTGAGTTTTTCGTATGTGACAGGGGTGACACGTCACTGTGTCTGCTAGTCAGTTCTACGAACTTTTTATCGTTTACTATACTTTACTTTATTCTCACATTTGTTTTTATTTTATTTCCAGCAAGTTTTAGCGAAATATGACGGTAGGGATTAAATTGCTAACTCAGTTTCTCGTTAAAACTTAAATTTAAAGGGGCAGTGTTACGGCGCTGATTGTCTAAAATAAGTGGCGCAAAGAAAAGTTTAAAATTAATGCTACATGATTGGAAAAGATGCAGCAGCCTTCAATTTTTAAAACAAAGCAAGGATGTCCTGCATAACGAAGGGATTATAAATAGTATATCGTATTTCACTCCTAACTTGATTAATTGTTGGCAGACAGTTTTCAAGTTCGCGCATATTTTGGATGCGCAGTAGAACCGTGACACTGCCCCTTTAATAGTTAACACATGCACTTAACTTTAATGTTTGTTATGTTGCTTGGGGTCTACATGCACTCTGTAACAACGTTTTTCTGTAAAATTGAGAAGGTGAAAGTCATTCATCTCTGTGTCAATTACCCTTTTAATGCACTGTTTCGAAAGAAATTTCGTAGTATTGTAACGAGGGGCGAAATTGGATGAATCGTACAGTCATAATTCATAAATACATGGATACGACGTATTGTACTGTACATGTATTCGTCATGTAGTTAACTTCAGGGCTTATGTTTTAACCCTTAACATCCCAGGGAGGCCGTGGGCCAGACCGCTGCACCTCCTCTAAAACATTTCCCACCTCCTCCAGTATTTCCACCAAAATCTGGCATTGCCAAGAACTAAATAAGAACATGAATAGAGAGTGCCTGGGACTATAGGCAGGCATGTGTTTGGCATCATTACATGTTACCATAATGCAATAATAAAATTATTTCAAAGAAACATTTTCATATTAGTTTATCGAACATTCCAGCTTCTTTTTCTTCAAACTTTTTAAGGAATTTAAAGTGTATTTTTCTTCATAGATATTACTCTACCGAAGTCTGCAACAATATGTTATACTGCTGCATTGCTAAAAGCAAGGGTAGTAGCAGAAAAGTAAGTCTATAAAGTCAGATACATTGGGCACTCTCCTCCGCTGAGGTTTCCAACTTATCTTGTATTCAGTGAGTTTTTCCGTATTTTTATGCGAGGAACCGCTGATAACATAAAAACACGGAAAACTCGTGGGAAGTTGGAAACCTCTGCGGAAGAGAGAGGGTTCGATTCCAAGTTGGGACATCCGGTAGAATTTCACTCCACTAGTTAAATATACGATCCTGTCCAAGGCGTCTTAAAAACATCGCCCGTTTAATGTTAACACTTTTTGTTCAAACTTGATGGCAAACAATCCGAAAGTAAAGCAAATAAACCATATAAAATAAGTAAATTAAAGGATGAAAAAGAAAATATAGGTGTATTCATGAACTAAGTTATAATCTCTGAAGAAGCTCTCAGCTTAGAACATTAAAACAGATCACAAAGTTTCCATGCAAAAACTATTATAGTAATTGTCGTTTTGTAGATTTTCTCCCGAGGTAGCAGCGAAACGTGGATTGAGTCCCACTGAAATGGCGGCTGTGGAAGCCATTCATCGAGCAGTAGAATTTAATCCTCATGTACCCAAGGTAACTGACGCACATTTCAGTTTGGTACGATACGAATTGCATTCACAGAGATCGAATTTCATGCATTAATGTACAGCTTTCATATTCTAGTATTTGTTGGAACAGAAAAGTCTAGTTCTTCCTCCAGAACACATATTAAAACGAGGAGATAGTGAGGCCCTTGCATACTCTTTCTTTCATCTTGCACATTGGAAGAGAGTAGATGGTGCTCTAAATCTACTTCACTGTACTTGGGAAGGAAGTAAGTGTACAAGAAGACAACGAACAAGCCGGAACCCAAGGCGTTTTTCATTTGCAGTAATTTTTACACGCCAGGATACGAATCGTACACGACAATTTACGATTAGCATTTCTATAGCACAAATTTACATGTGGATATGATCTAATGCGCTGCTTTACATTATATCTTATTGGATTCTTCTGAGCCCAATATGGCAAAATATTAAGTCGAGACTTCAATATTGGGCGAGACCGAAGGTCGAGCCTAATATTGGAGTCGAGACTTAATATTTTGCCATATTGGGCGAAGATGAATCCAATAGGAGTTTTATTATATCGAACAAAACAATTCTATAACAAAAGTTGTCAATAAGCGATAAAGTAAATTCTGCGAGACTAATACAGCGACAACATTACTACATATATCGGCGGCGAATTTGCTTAAATAACTAAAAAAAAGTTAATAAACCTGTTTTTACAAATATGTGTGCATAAATATACTCAATTCCATATATGTTTAAAGGAAATTTGACCTAATTTTAACGAAAAAAATAATATTACTAACTTCTAGGCTGTTGCAAACAAATAAATTTCGCGAAGACAAGTTTTCCCGCGCTTTTATAATTTTAAAACTGGTAGAAAAAACTGTATTAATGTCCCAAATTCTTTTCATTATTCTGCCATATCGTTTGTCGTATGTTTGAAATTGACAAAACATCTAAAAAGGGTTGAAAAACCATGAAAAAAGCCACAATTCGCAACTGTCCAATAAATAAGTTCCTGTCCAATATCGTAAAATATTGGATCGGCACGTGACCCTCTCAACAATTACTGATTGGTTAAGTGCGCGTGAGTGTATAATAACAAATATTATACGTTTACCTAATTGCATGCTTAGCCTATAGACTATTTTATTTTTACAACAATTGAGATATTATACTTTCCCAACTGTGTTTATCCTAACCCACCCTGTCAACTTTCCCTGTGGGAGAAAACGTACCTTAACTAATTTATGTAAAAAAATAGCCATATCATGCAAAAGTATGACACGCACTTCTACTAAAGACTTTGGGTATATATATAAGGGAGTTCTGGTAGTTCTATAGTGTAAAATAAATGAATTTGTGCACAGTCTTCGGTTTATTTATTTAATTTAGCTTATGATTTGACCTAGCAAACGTACCACACACGTTTTTATCTTTGTATGTTTTTTTTAAATTTTACGTCTTTATCTTTGTTAGTCTTTTGGGTGGAGACGTTGCCTGTCTAATTTTGTTCTTTATTTCTTTACTGATATAGCTTTCCGTCTCTTGCCTTATCCTATGGAGAAAGGTCATTTATTTCATCCTTATCCAGCTTGTACTGAGGCTGCCGATAAAGAATTACTACCTGGTAAATAATAATAGCATTATACCTCTGAGAGACTTATCCCATTTTTTGAACAATGATAATCAGGACATAATAAATAGGCAAAGATATGCTGAATTCGAACAAACCATGTCGGTAAAGTTCGATGCGCCTGTACTTCCTTTTGCGTGTTCGTCTATAGGGATGTATCTAACAACTATAGGAGTTACTTTCCCCCACCCCTTTCCGTTCTGGAAAGGCCAATTGCATCCCCAGTCTGGGGGAGGGGGGTTAAAGAAAATAATGGTGATTGAAGACTATTTAAAGTATAGCATTTGTAAATTCTGAAGGCTGATTGGCTAAGAGCCGTGTTGATATAACTCAATGTCAACACGGGAAATTTTCGGCCGCTTGTAAACACGGAAAGTTTTCTTATCCTTCGGGCTTTTGACATTGCTATATTATAAAAAATATATAAAACATTTTTTCCGTATTGATACATAGTAAAATTTATATCAACACTCGTGGAAGTTGGGAAAACTCGAAATTGTATTTCCATACAATTTCTCGTTTTCCCAATTCCACTCGTGTTGATATAACTGTATATCAACACGGAAAATGTTTTATATTTGTTAAATATTAAATGTTTAGAAGGGTCACTTTCCTACCCTCTTGTGCAAATTATAGGGTTGCGTATTAATTATATCCAACTCTATTCACCCATCCTATTTAGAAACACGATTTAGTACTATTGAAAAATACAGTTGAGCAATTACTAACGTTACTATCGCATAGATAATTGCTTCATTATACATAAAAACTATTCCTTCCTTCACCGTAAAAGTGGACAGATTTCCAAATGAACAAAAACGTAGTCGTAGATTGTTCGTAGAACAATGATTTCTGTTGAACTTGAAAACCATGTTTATATCTTTCAGCCCACCATATGGTGTCAGTGTATCCTAAAAGAGAATTACCCTTCTTCGTACTTTTTACCGCTGGACTTTGTTCATTCAATGCATTGCTGGCTCTTCTTACTCATCAGTTTCCACATTCCATGGCAGCAGCATCTAAAGCGGTATCTATATATACTGTAACATACTATCTTGTACATATCACTTCCATACTCTGGAAATTCTATAAAAATTACCTGGAAAAGGTTAGAAATTCTACCCATAGTGTGGAAATGTTGCAGAAAAATGCGAAAAAGACTATAGAAGAACACCCCTCCCCACCCCCCGTTCGGAATGGTCTTGGTACGCCACTGAATTTTTTTCTTTTCCTTTCAGATTCTCACATGGGTATCTGCGCCTTTCAGTTTGTTGGTACAGAAAATTGAGGACATATTTCCTGCTCACATTTGGCATCAACTCACTCAATTTTAGCAGACATTAACTAACAAAATATGAAAGCAGAAACTGCTCTAAGAATTTGTTTAAACATCTAGTACTTTCTGTAAAGAATTTTATCAAGTTAATATAATAACTCCATTGCAGAGTTCCACAAACATTCAATATATTATATACCAGGCATATCATTCTACTATAATTTTTGCCTATAAAACCACATTTATTTTAGAACTATACTGCTCCAATTTTTTTCCAGAAACTCTACTTATAAGCAACATTGAGTGCGCCTTGAATGTGGAGTTCCAGTGTAGGTAGTGATGAATTAAGGGATAAGACAACCAGATTACCTGAAAATATAACATGAACTTCGACAGTTCAAGCTTAGGCCCTGCATCTGGAAGTTTAAAGGCCCGTGTTTACACTTGCAATTTTTGCTGCGATTTCTGGTGCGATCTTCTTCTTCTGGTGCATGTGAACGAGTAGACGAATTGTGAATGTTTTGAGTATATTTATCATCGTCAGTCGTCGGGTCATCATCTATCTATACCATCCAGGCTCGTGGTTGGTTGATTATAACAATGAAAGACAACAAAACTATAGAAATCGTCTTTCTAAAGAACGAGTCACGAACAATGATCATTTTTGTTTGATTTGTTTCTGAAAGCCAATCGCAAAACATGATCATGTTAGGTAGGTCTTTACCCCAATCGTCATCTGAACATTCGTAACTCGTCCACTTGTTTACATCCATCAGAAAAAGAAAATCGCAGCGAAAATTGCAAGTGTAAACGGGCCTTAAAGGATTAGTGTCACACCAGGAATTCGCGGGCTCAAAGTCCTGCTGGCGGCCATTTTTCGGGACGGATATATTAGATGATCTGGAAAGTTTTTACAATCCCCGTCATATATTCAAACAATCCTTTTATAATCCTTGCTCTTTTTGTCTGATTTTTATCAGAAATGTACCAAACACGGTATTTTTAGCGCTATTTGTTGTATTTGAGTAAAATGTAAACAATAACAAAAGCCCGCAATGCATGACACTGACACTAATCCTTTAAGTAGTCCAGTAGTATTGGATCTATCCACTTTGTTATGAGATCATAATGAACTGGACGCCTGAAATGAAACTGATCTCAATAACAGCCTGGGTAGACCTTATCAAAACCAATTCGAACGAGACTTGAGGTTGCGTCTAGGAAGTTAGTGACTTCGAAGTTCTTGTTATATTTTTCCAGGTAGTGTGATCCTCTAATCTAAGGATATGCTGACGCGCAGATATAACATTGGCCTTTTGTAGTTTTTCCCCCACGAAACTTGATTGTTTTGTAACTTATTAAAAAGCTCTTTTCCATTCATCGCATGCAAGAGTCAACTCGCAAGCTCGCTAGTGTGAGTGCTTTCGACCAATCGCGATGCTATTTTTGATGCTTTGCAGTTTAGTTTAATTAGATACATGCAAGCACTCGTAGCGAGCTCCAAAATCTCGATATTTTAGTTATATTGGCATCACCTTAGTACATGAACTCTGTAGCTTAGACGGTTGTAGACTTGCTCGCTCGCGCATGTCGTCCCACTGCACACTTAAAGGTCCAGACACACCGGTCGTGATTCGACAACGCGACGCGATTTTTTAGCGACAACGCGACGCGATTTTTTGCTCTCAATGAGAGCAAATTTTAAAAGATGTAGACCAAATAACTCAAAATGTTAACGCTTCTATAAATATTTGGAAAGTTTAAACTAGAATCAAAATTGTCGGTTAGTGAAAATCGAAAAATCGCGTCGCGTTGTCGAATATCGCGTCCGGTGTGTCTGGGACCTTATTTAACATGACGTACTCTTGACGTACTGCATTACTTATTCCGCGTTGTACGTCCGTTGTACGTCTATATGCATGTTAGGTGCAATAAAGTGGGACGACAGGGAGATTTGGAGCACGTCTAAAGGCTAGTTTCCACTCAGGAAAATTATCCGTGGATCGGAACGGACAAGAAAATTTTTCTTTGTCTTGTGAGCTCTGGGTTGGAACTAATGTTTCAGTTTCGCCTTGCGTTCACACAGGACGCACGCATGAAAGCGGACGAATTCCAACACAGCTAACCGTACGAATTCGAGGTTCGATTCCTGCCTGAGGCCCTATATAGTTCGAACTGTTCCTGGTTAGGTCTCTTTTTGTCTTTTTTGTGTATTTTGTTAAATTCTTACAAGGTATTGTATCTTGTGAAACGTCTTGTTGAAAATATTCGTATTCTTCAACAATTTTAAACAAGATGCTCTACAGTATATATTGAGTGTTTAGTCGCTGGGGTATTAAAATACAGGGCGATTCCGCGATGAATTAGGCCTGCTGTTTTGAAGGTCTGCTTGTTCTTTAAGGTAGTAAATATAACCACTCAGAACAGCATTTTCACATTGGTACTGCCTACACTGGTACAGAAGTTTTAGGTAAATTTATAGCCCGAATAATAACTTTGCACAGATGCCGATATTTTTTGTTTTAATCTCGATAATTTTAGTTTTCAGAGCATTAACAAAACATCTTTTATCCTTATCTTTTCATTTTAAATTTGCAAAAATTCGAGTTGGTTCTAGTCTTCCGCGGCCATAGATTAGAGAGGTTCAGATTTGACTCACTCACTCACTCACTCACTGGCTTAGTGCGCATCTGATTGGTTAATCGGATGTATTAAGGAATTTGATTGGTTAGTGATCCCTTAATGGTAGCGGTAGTGGAAGTCAAATCTGAACCTCTCTATTGTGAAAGCAACATCAAGTCTATTATGAGATCAGTGGGATTTTTCCAATTTGTGTCCTTCCGTGCTTCCGGTAGCCGAAACCAATATTTGTGCCAATAGTCGCTGGCGGCACAGGTGCCCCAATGACTAATTAACAATTATTCGCCGAAGGCGAGGTGATTATCGGTGAATAAAAACCGAGACGAAGTCGAGGTTTTTATTCACGATAATCACCGAGCCTGAGGTGAATAATTGTTTTAGTATAATTTCATAGGTGATTATTTGGGAAAAAATAAGAAAATACACATTTCTTTGTCATTTAATTGACCAAAAGGCTTCGGCCGCCATTTTGAAAATCGCTTAGGTGATTATCGCGTAATAATCACCTCAACGGCAACCAATCACCGTGGAGAATTTTCAATAATCACCTATGTAATTATACTAATGAACATTGAACTATAGATGAACGCTAATGAATGATATTAGGTGAGAAAATTGAATTTAAAGTTTATGTAAATCAGCATGGTTTTGTATCAGATATATACAAACTCCTTCACGGTCATGATTTCTTTTGTGTTTTCAAATAAGTTATGGATAAATATGTTATTATTATAATATATACATAAATAAGTTTTGGGTATAACTTATAAATAAGTTTTGGATAAATATGTTATTATTATACTCTCTATGTACAGTGATTGTTTTAAATGCTTTGCTCTTGTCCAATTGCAGTTTAATATATACAGAATATTTTATTTCCCATGCTAATAGCCACAATGTGATGCTGTGTTATATTGAGGAGTTTATGCTCCACGTTTGAGCTCAACGGCAGAACCAGATTTTCCTGGCAGAATTTGCAGTTTCCTCCATTTCCATCGCTCAAAACTTTGTTATGTCAAAAGAATAATTTTGCATTTCTAGAAAAATCATTGCCCTGCATGGCTAATTTTGTCGTCTAACGTATCAATATGAAGCTCAAACTGCTTACTTTGGCTCATTGAATGCCTGCAGACCACACTCGCCAACTGAATTGGGAAGTGTATTTCAGGGGCTTATCCTGAAGATAAGTGACATTTCATATGAGAATGATTGTAATCTGCGGATGTAGATTCTTCAAAATAGCAGATATTGTCAGGAAAATATTCTTGGATGATAAGAAAACATTTCTTCAACACCTCACGTGCAATCAATGTATGAGGGGTCATTCTTACTACTTGACTCTAGAAAAAATACTCTATCATTAGATTATACATAGAAAAATGTTCAGTTTGGTTTATGTTGTAATGTGTGAATCAGAAAACTATTTAACTTATGTATTTTGTATTTTTTAAGCTCTTTTTCCCATGCCGTTTTATTAACTTGCAAAAACCTTTGGCTTTGCCAGCTGATGTTTTCAGTAATAATAAAATGAATGTATAATCCTGAAAATTCAGTTTTGGATCACAGAACATATGATTCTAGTCGTGCAAATAAACTCTAAGTTTCCGGCAGCTGAAAGTCAACAATAAACTTAACTGTAGGTGGGGAGTTATAATTGCATGGATGCACTAGCTTGCGTCAATGAGTCAAACAGTTTAAGGATTTTAATTATTGTGTCCCTGCACTCTTGATATATCAAACGTTCCCAATATATATATATATATATATATATATATATATATATATATATATATATATATATATATATATATATATATATATATATATATATATATATATATATATATATATATATATATATATATATATATATATATATATATATATATACACACATATACATTCGGGTGGGCTTATATTCGGAGGTTTACGGTATGTTAATTATATCTTTCTAGTTTCTATTGACTTTCAATCCAGTTCAAATGACTTTGATCAGAAGGCTCGAAAGTCACCTGATTCATGTTTATCCGAATTTATTGGATTTATATATCAACTTAAAAATATAAACACTAATTATAATCTATACTTTTTCCTTAACATGCATACAGTCTTAACAACGACGTTAATTGTCTGCCAATTCTGCCAACAGAATGAATTTGAAGAGGGTAAAAACACATGACCAGGGCCTTTTTTTTTAAATACAAGCCCACGAAATCACATCCCCCCCCCCCCCTCCCGTTTTCCTAAATTTATACAAACAAACAAGCGAAGAATAACAAATAGATAAACGGAAATTAAGTTTTAGACTTCATCATTTGTCCTTGTTTAACAAAATCGACTTAAATTGTTACGTTTTTCTAACACTGAGTAATGATAAATTATTGTTAATAATTTTTTGTGCGTTTTTTCCTGCTTTTATTTCAAATAGAAGTATAGTTTGATTTAGAACTGAATCTTCGTCTTCGGATTTTTTTGCAAAAGCACAAGGTTTTTTAAGGAATTTATTCCCCAAGTCTGCAGATTCTCTTCCAGCATTACTGCATGGGCTGGCACACTGATGGCTGGCAGGTCCGGACTTTGCAACGTTTTGTTTTAAATATTGGCCAATTTCCAATACACCCTTCCGGAAAGTACGTCACTTTGGCTATAGAGCCTCGTTTTCGTGTATGTGACATCAGTTAAAGTCCACGTCTTGTATTTCCTGGGTACCGTACTTCTACTAGAATTTGCCTTTATAGAATTATATGCATGTCTGTATCATAAAAACGAAAATAGATCATTTGCATAGTTTACACAAATACTGACTTATATAACGTACCTTAAAATGTCTGCAAAACAGAGGAAAACATAGAAACCCACCAATGTCAAAAAAGTATGCAATGGGTGGATAGGAATAGCTTGATATCAGTTTGTCAAAGTAATGCATTCTTCTGACTGACGTCTTTGCGGATTTGGATACTGAATTATTTAAATGTCCATCACATAACCAACCACTAAACATATGTTCACCTATATGAGACAGAAATGTCAGCAACTAAGCCAATAATAATCAAATCTTGGAATACAATATGCACACGATTGTGTTTAGTATGATGTTCATATACTGTAATTGATTAATATATTCTTATATCATATTAAATTATGGGGTCTGCTGAGCAGGCTACATTAAATTATAGATATTGTCTGTTTCGTATTTGCAATGGCAATGCTAAAATCATTTTCCCCAAAAGTAGGGCAGACTGCAGTCCACGCATTAACCCATTGAGCATCAGCGACCTTCCCTTGACCAATAAATCAAATCCTCTGGCATTCAACAATAAAGTAGGGCGCAATGCGGTCAATACAAGTTAATGGTATACAAGGTATAACAATTAGCTTAGAAGTTTAGCAAATTTTTCAATATTTCTTTGCAACATTTCTTTCTTTCTTTACAGTATAAACTGACGAATAGGTAACATTTTGCTAGGTAATTCTGTTATTATAGATACAGCAGAATGTCATAACGTATTATGTATGCAACTGCATGGGCGTGTTGACCAAACTTTTAGCAGTTTTTGCATACACCTATAATGTTTAAATTCTCACGCAAAGAACAATGGAAATGAGGTCACAATGTCTTAGGGGAGGATCAAGTTGTCTTCCATATGTATACTTCTCAAGTCACTAATAATTTATAAGGCAAAAAAATACGTGGGTTTCTGGTCAGTGGCGGATCTGACCTGATTTGGTAATGGGGGTGGAGGTTTTCCAGAAGGGGTGCATTACTACGGGGGCATTCCCTTCCAGAAACATTTTGAAATTTGAAGCCCTGGAATGCTATTTCCCGCATTCTGAGCACTACATTTATTCGTTAACTTTGTCCTCACAGTACTTGTATTTCGGGCAAAAATTAAGAAAAGTGCTAGTTATATGGTGACCCGCCGTATTGGTGCTTGAATATTTAATTCTCGCGTATATTCGATAATCAGTCGTTTCAATATAGTAAGTAGTATGTATAATGATTCACAACTCAAATACTGATATAGTCTATAGAATACCAGAGTTTTCTTCAAGGGGATTGCTGGACAAGGAGGAGGAGTCGGCACCCCTGTACCCCACCAGTAGATCCGCCCTTGTTTCTGCTTTCCCAGTATCACTGACCCTAATCAAAGAATTTGGAGCAATTTTTCATACCCATGCAGTTCGTGGCTTTCGTTTTTTACTAGCTGCATAAACAGGGTTCGTAGTCTCCAAGACCAAAAAAATTCAAAGACTTTCAAGGATTTTTTCCGCCTATTTTCAAAGACTTTTCAAAGACCTTTGAGGGCAATCAGGTGTCGAAAAATTGCGAGTGTAAGCAGCATTTTTACCCAGTAATTAGTCCCTTCAAATCACATCCTAAAATGCACTTTTTCGTCGATATCTGCGAAAATCTTGCTTCAATCAATCTATTTTATTAGCTAGGAAATCAAATAATCACTAAAGAATTTAAAGATTTTTAAAGACTTTCTTCGCTTTTTCACACAATTCAAAGACTTTTCAAAGACCTTAAAGACCTGCATTCAAATTTAAAGACTTTCAAGGATTTCAAAGACCGCTACGAACCCTGATAAAGTATATTAATCGGTTTGCTGCTGTAATTAATGTAGAATATCATTCTCATGCATGTGCAAAATTTTAAAAACCTGAGTTTTTGAATAGATTAACCCACAGGTATAATTTTTTGGCCTGAGCAAAACAGCTAGCAAGGTAATTAACATACTGTTTTTGATACCACTGTAATAAACCCCAAAATTATCTCAATTACTGCCTTTAAAAACAGGTCCGTTTGAGAAGTAATACAAAAAATAGGCACGCTAAGCGTACATGTACTATGTCTGCACAAACTCTGCATAGTTGTAATGTTGTGGTCATGCACTGTTGTACACAAATGATGCCTAAAATAAGCGATGGATTGTGACAAAAATCATATAGCACTCGTGCTATCGTGCCTCCCATAAGCATAATAGTGACAATGCATGACGCTAAATTTCATAGTAGCAGTGCAGTAATGTGCTATTTTGCATTTTTGTTATAAACTTCATAGTAGCAGTGGCCAGTGCAGTTGTGCTATATTTCGGTAGAAGATTATATATGCCTTTACTATAAAATTCATTGGTCTTGGTTTTCTCCAGTCGGAACTTGGAAGATCACGATGCATGTAAAAATGGAATTCAGCAATAAAAATGCTATGCGCGCTATATATGCTAATTAACTTCATTATTAGTAGCAAATGCAGTCATGCTATTTTGCTAGCAGATTATAGCTAGGCCTAATGGAATTCAGCAATAAAAATCCTATATGCGCTTTGCTAAGAGCCTCTATGCAAGCTAGCCGCTAAGAGCCTTCACTTACTGTCTTACGTCTGACAATAACCAATTCTGTCTATACACACTGAAGCTAGATGATTTTATAATAATATAGGCTTTACAACTAATAGCAAATTTCCAAATGAGTTTTACTGCGTGTTTATATAAACTGGGTCATACATTAAAGATAAAAAAATTGGTGAGTCACTCACGGCCAAATTACGGTATGTAATTATGCTGCCGTTGTTAATTTTCCTGTTTCCATATTGTATTTATTTAGCCAATCAAAATTTGTGATTGCATGCGTAATAGGCAAAAGTGCCATGTCAATTAATTAGTGCTGCACATAATGCTTTCGAAGAGATCTGATTTTCTGTTGTTGTGCTTTATTTGAAATTGTAAATGGCACACAAGCAACCGAAGAAAAAAAGAACAGCGCTATTCAATCCAGATAACATCTGAGTAATTCCTAAGAGTTAATTAAAG